TGCTGAATTTACCTGCATGTGTTTACTTGTGGGCTGACAGAGAGGAAAATCTGAGGAAAATGCAATGTTATTTGCAATTATGGTTTATAAAAATTAAGTGTCTCCGTGTAACTTCACTTTTGGAGTTTAACCTACTTGATTCTATGTCATTTTTTGTGGTACTGGGGTTGGAACTCAGGGCTTCACACTTGCTAGGCAGATGCTCTACCACTTGAGCCACTCTGCCAGCCATCTATTTTATTCTAATATTCTCAAAAGCAAAAATTATATTCTTCAAAGTCAGCATCAAATGTCTATGTGGCAAGTGCTCAAAGCAGTATTCATTCATCTTCCAGTCTTTGTTTATTATTTGCTGCGGCAAATGGCTGAACAACTTATGTAGAACAATTGAAATTTAAAAGAAATATTCAGATTCATTTGTCTAGGGGTTAACAATCAACTCAGAGTTTATGATCTAATATCACCTATGGAATTTCTGGAGATGGGATGAGGCTTGAGACACTCACAGGAACGATCATATGATGGAGGTAATTCCTGACCAAATCAGGAATACAGTCTGCAGGCCACTTGGTGGATAGTGCATTTTATTAAATTTTGAGGGTTAGAAAGGACCTTTTACTGATTGCCTTGGCAATGCATTAGTATGGTTAAATATTGCTTTCAGGAAATGTTGTAGCTATCTTTCAACCTATTCTATAAATAGTAGGAGATGACTAATTACCCTCTAGAAAGTTCTTTAAAAATTGAATCTAAATTTGTGTTTAAATAAAAAGTTAAGATTATGTAGTGCCTTTTTTGAGATCCCAGGCTATAGATCCTTATAGACTGAAATTAGAATCTAACGAACAATAAGCAATCTGGCTTTGAAAGTTACTTAACTTCTTTTCTTGATTTTTTTTTTTGTCATGAGATGATGATGCTTAGTACAGCCTCATAAGTTCAGGCTGAGTGGACATTTGAGACTGTGAATGACCAGGGCTGAGCCTAGGGTTGGTGGGTGACAATTTGGTCTCCAAGACTTTGGAGGGAGCTGCAAGTGGTTATGATGTGAGAGGGTATGTTGCACCATTCGCCACTGCAAAGTTGACTGATATTAGGCAAGATATCTGCTCTTTCTGAACTCTAGTTTCTAATTATAAAAAATATTTACCTTAGGATTGCTCCCAGTATTATAAGAGCATTGTTATGAAGCACACGCAAAACACCTGGATTTAATGCATGCTCATTAAATAACTGAAAATTACAATTGCTAACATTATCTGACAATGTGACTTTGACAAATTACCAAGAACAGAGGCCAGATGATTCTAAGGCAATGGGATATATACATATGTATATGTGCATGTATAATTTTTTCAGAAATGTCCAAATGAAATGTCAAGGTTACTCTGATGTTGAAAATGCTGGGTCATCTGGATTATTTTGATGGAGAGTGGAGATTCCTTGGTTTCCATTGTCACCTTTGGATGGGGCTTCTATGTTATCATCAGTAGAAATTTTAACTTCATTACTAAAACTCCATTGTTGCCAAGAAGAGGAAGCTGGAGGATCAATGAGGAAATTATCCTATAATTTATTGTCCATATAGGGACACTTGTGAGGGAAAATGGGTGCTTTACCTATAGGACTTCATGATTTCCAGCTGAGTGCAGAGCTGTTTAGGGCAAACTAGGACATCTTGTCAATCTACTAATAAAAAAGGTATAGGGAATGGTGTGGGGATGGGGGAGAAAGAATATGACTGTAAACAAACCAACACACCAGATAATATTTGCACCCACAATTCATTTTGCAATTTCTGTTAACTGAGTATGCTCTTTACAGCTGAAGAGATTTCTGTAATTGGACATTATGTGGACAAACCTTAAAAGCAAGCCCCTCTGGTATACCTGTGACATGGTTGTGAGGGTACTCACTTGAAAGCCAGCCTATGTGCTTCTGGATTTCTAGATGTTAACCTGTCAGGATGGTTTAATGTTGGGCATTTCATGCCAAGGCTGATGGGATTTTGAGTTACTTCATGTAAATATAGGATGTAGGCCTCCACTCGGATGGATTTACTGTTCCTATTCTGTCCTGTTTCTTTTCTCTACACCACTACTTTTTGGAAATATACAGGGAAGGAGTTTTTCTTCATATACAGGACTAGATCTGAGATTGAGTGTGTCCTTGCAGTACCATCTTCTCCATTTATGATCTCTTCTCCACTCCTGGAGACACCTTCTCTGGACACTTTAGTACTTTGGTGAAAGGTTTGCATGTGTTAGCCTTGTACAGTTTTGACACTCCTTGTCTTTGGACATCTTTGACTAGTTAATAATGCCTATCCTCTTATAGTTATTTTTGGCTAGAGAGGTTGACTAGTACATGACTTGATCAGGTATATTTTAACCACAACCACTTTTAGTCAATGCTAATATCCAATCTAGCATGCTGGGGAGAATTTGGTGGGCCATACACTTTGGGACTAGCAGACTTGATGTTTTGTTACAAATCACACTGCCTAGGTAGCTCCTAGATGTACCTTTCATTGAACAGACACTGCTATTATTCCAGTTTTGAAACAACAATCACATGAGTTTCTCAGTTAAGAACTAGTTTGGTCCTTTTAGGTAAGTTATAGAGTTAAATTAAAGCTGGAGTTACTAAGATAGAGAAAATGTTGCTGAAATCTACTTTATCTTCATTTAGTTTTCTTTAATCTGCTTCTCCTTATCTCTGTCTCTCTCCATGTTCTTTTAGGCTTAGACTAAAAAAGTATGAGCCCTAGATGGATTGCCAGCTCCATGAGGAAAAGGCAAGTCGTCTCTGCTCCCTTTTCTCCTATAATAAACACAGGCCCAGATTTGAAATGTGAAAAGAAAATAAATCTTCACCATGACCATCATCTTATAATCAACACTGACCTTCCTCTGTCTTCCTGAGTATCTCACCTGAGCAATTTTTTTTCTTTTAGCTTCAAGAAATTGCTGAAGGAAGAAATGTTAGATCTAGTTTTTAATTAGCTTTTCTATTGATTTGTACATAACTTTGTATGAGTCACTGTTCTTTAGTGAAAATCTCAAAGATTAATGGCTGTTCCCAGAGATTTTTCTGGACCAGGTTCCAGATTCTCTATAACTTTTTCTTTTTTCTCTCCTCTAAATTCACTAGCTTACTCTGTTCTTCACTATAAAGCACACAGACACACACAGACACACACACACACACACACACAGACACACATACACACAGAAACATGGGCACATGCATATGCACCAAATGTGCTTTCAAGAAGAAAATACCATGGAGAAAGGTGATTGGTTATGCGCTATATTTAGTACTTGATGTAAAAAATCCTCTTCTGCAATTTTATCTACTTCAATATATTTTTAAACAAAGTTTCTCATAGCCAGTATTATATACCTTAAATGAAAACTCAGTTATGGAATGGAGAAGAAAGAGGTTATTGGGCCTTAAAATATTATCTACCAGATTGACATGCAGCATATTTTAGATATTAGAAGTTGATACACTTCTTTCTCACACATTACTGTAATAGAATATGAAAAGACAGAGTAATATTTCCAAAAATGGGAGAAAAAGTTTTAAAACATGGGAAAATATTTCAAAATACAAAATAATATGTTATTTTAATTTTTAGAGAAATGAATAAAGTTTGTACTTCCCTTCTAATGTCATTCTAGACCACCTTTAGCTAGTTGGAGCCATCATATTTCTATCTGGTTTTAATGTTAGCATTGAGCCATTTTCTTCTATTTGCAGTCAATAAAAATACTAATTAATTTGAAAACTTGAATACTGGTTATAATTAAGAAAAATATCTATCCAATATCTTTTATTGCTATTTTAAATATCTTTCATTTTTCTTTAATGTCTAGAAATACCTTTGTAATTAAATTCTGAAGGGACTAGATTAAAATTTTTGGGGATTATGAAGTAATCCTAAAGAAACCAATGGGATTTAACTAAATGAAATAGCGAATCAATGCCTTTTTTTCCTTATTGTTTCCCAATAAAATGAGCATCTTCCCCATTCTCCAGATAGGCAACATCTCCAAATCCTGTGGCTTTCCTTGATCCCACTCTTCCTTCATGACACTTGCTGAATTCCTGATGGTCTGGACTGTGTATTAAAATTACCCCATCATCCTGTGTTTTCTCTGCCACTGCTCTGGCTCAGGCGTGACATCTTTCTTCTTAGTTACTGAAAGAGGCTCCTGAAGTGACTTCCCTCTCTTCCTTCTAGTCTTCTTTCCTTCAGTTTTTTCCCCTACCCCTCAAACCTACTGTACTGACTTGTATTTTATATTTTAGCTGCACCAAACTCTCTTTTTCCTCTTATTCTCTCCTTTGAAAATGCTACTTCTTTAGCCCAGGCATTTGCTCTCCCTATCTTATGTTCCCATATTGCCTGATAATGCTTGATTCATCACAGACCTTAACTTAGTCATTCCCTTGTTCAGGAAGCCTTTCTTGTCCGAGTCCTGACTAACTACTTCAACTTCTCATTCATGCTCACTCAACTTCTACTCCACCAAGGAAGTTCCAAGCCTCCTTTGAGTAACAGACTTTTTCTTCTTTGTTTTATATAAACTGTGAGGATAGGGATCTAGCTATCTGTATCACCATGGTATTACCAAGACCTACTATGGTGCCTCAGAATGTGGTGAACACTTTTTAAGTTTTTGAATGTATTTCCCCCTTTTTTAGTATCTTTTTTATAATATACTTATTAATGTTCAAATTCTACTTAAATTATTTATAAAATTAGATTTTAGAACACAAAGATGAATGGTTTCACTTTACTATGTATACTAACTAGACATTTTGTAGAAACTAAAAGCAATTATTTTTAAACTCAGCCCCAAATGATTGTGCATCTTAATAGATTGTTCAAAATAGCAAACTCAACATCTGACAAAACTCAGCAACCAAACACTGTCATTGGGAAAAAAGTAAAGGGAAATAAACCAAAGCTCAAACTTGTTCTGGAAAAAAAAAAAACCCTGTTGTTTTATTGTTTTTTAGAAAGCACACACAGCAATTTATTTGGACAAAAGAGAAAATGCAAAATAAGTGCGCATACAAATTCATTACAGAAGGATTGGTGTCACTTCCTGAGTAACACCTGTGTATGTGAGCTTTTAAAATTTTGCATTTCTTATATCTATATCCATAATCAAGAGTTATGGATATAAATATATGGAAACACATCTCACACTGATCCGAACTCGTTTCTCCAAAATGTGCAATGTACATATCCTTTTTCTTCCTGGAAAATCCCTACAGGTGTTTTCTTGTATCATGCCACAGTCTCTTTTCTCTGAGTTCGTCTCTGATGACAAGTAAGGATACTTGTGAAAGAAGATTTCCCCTTAGTTCTTGATTTTTTCTTTAATTTTTTCTGATTCTTGAGTGAGATTCCCAGTTCTTCCATGATGGCATTGAAAGAGAGACACTGGAGGGCATGAAATAATAGAACATCAGTGTAATTGAATCCGTCTCCATCCTGCATTGATTTGCTCTTGCCTACCATCTTATGGACACAAGATATTGGTCTTAGGGCAACTCTGTCACAACTGGCCATTTCCCATCACCTCCTCCTCCACCCACTGGCCGCCCACCTTTTCTACTTAAAGAAGTTGAGGCAGTAAATTAGCTGGGCAAAGTTTATGGTTTCATTTACAAATGCAGCACAATAAAACTACCCAGTTAAAGAAAACTCAAGGCTCTCAAAATAGTCAACTTACCTTTGCTGAGACATCAAAATAGAGTTAAATTAAGGCATTTCCCCCATTGAGATGATCCAAACATTGATAGGGTTATCAAGGCATACGGACACTTCAGTAATGCTATAGAAAATGAACAAACCTTCTCTACACCAAGGCTTTGTTTTTTTCTCCCATGAAACCTTACTTTGTTCCTAAAATAAAATCTAAGTCTTGATGACTTTCCTTTCTGATAAAAAAAAAGAAAAAAAACAATTTTAAATTGTATATTTTCTCTAAAAAACAGAGATTGTGGCAGCAGCAATGATGCAGCTGTAGTTGAAATGGAAAATAATGTAGTATTGAACTGCACAGTGAAAAAAATAGTGGTATGACACAACAGAAAATAGAATTATGATTAAAAATGTTATACTTATACAGATAATATAGATACATAGATATACATCTCCATTACAATTAAGCTATATGTATTCATATACACAGCATAAATATGGCCCAATAAAACATACTTCACTGTCATTTCTTCTAGTCAACATAAGATCTTTGAATGATAACTTCCTGTTTATAGGGATTTCTATAGCTTTCTTTTTGATGAAGTTACTTTTAAAACATCCTGTAGTGTAAAGGACACACAGATGGACAAAGACTACATGATTCCACTTATGTAAGGAATCTAAAATGGTCAAACTCATAGAAATAGAAAGTAGAATGGTTGTGTTCAGAGACTAGGGGAGAGGGGAATGGGGTCAGCTGATAGTCAATGGGTATAAAATTTGAATTATACAAAATGAGTAAGTTCCAGAGATCTGCTATATAATATTGTACCTATAGTTAACAAAACTTATTGTGTCCTTAAAAATTGTTAAGTAGGTAGATCTCAAGTTCTGTATTTTTATTGCAATAAAAGAAAATCCTCTAAAAATTAAAGCCTTCAGTAAGATTATGTAAGTGCAAGTGTTACTCCTTTAACATTCATTGCTCACAACGTGAGTATGGTTGAAAGTCACACGACAACACGACAAATTAGATTATTTCTCTAAATTGTGAGTTCCTTATAGGAAGAAATTGGTGTTCATAATTTGCAAAGTTCTTAATGTCTGATGTGGTCCTTGCATATCAACCTGCAGCATGCTTTGAAAATTTATACTCCACTCTATCTTAAAAGGACTTTGATATAGGTTGTGTAAGTAGCAGTTTTCAAATTTTTCTACTTGGTTTGAAAGTCAGCTACATAAACTTAGGTTTTTGACATGTAACTCTTGAACATCTAGTTCTTTGCATAAGACTTTTGTTTCTTTTAAGCATATATTCATAAGATTTGAGTTTTATTTTCATTTTTCCTATGATAATAAAAATGAAAATTCAGATGGTTCATATTAATTTTATTTCAAATGATAAGTTGTAGCTTTGGTGAATTGAGAGGAGTGACATGACACAGAAAGAAAAAAATTCAGAACTGTTTTCTATGAATTATACTTCAAAAATGGTATAGCAAGCATATCACAAATGAAATGTAATGATTTTAACATTATGTCATGTAATGTATGCCAAGTTTAGTTTATGTTGTAACTAAGATCAAATGAATATTTTATAGTGTTATTGTGATAGATGCTATTGTATTAAGGTTTTCCAAACTTTTCTAAGAAATTTATTTCAATAGAAGGGACTTGGGGCATAGGATATTTCTTATTTCAGGAATATTGTTAAAATGGTGGAAGGATGAAGGAAAGAAGAGTTCCAAGAAATTTACATATATTACTACACATAAACCTTATGATAACCTTATAAAGAAGTAGTTGGTATGTACTTTATATAGATGGGGGAAATTACTATTGGAGATATAAGTAACTTACTAAGAGGAAAAGCCTGTCTCCACCGGACTGCCTGAACCCAGTTACTTTTGCCGGAAAGCATCTATGTCTTGTTTCTTAATTTTTAAAAATCACTATAGATAGTGTTTGTAATTTCTCCCTGTAAGATGTATGTTTGGGAATTCCTGGGAAATTTTTTGTTTTATTTGATCTCTAAAGTATTTGAATTTAGATATTTCATTTTATTTTGCATTTCAATAATCAAAATGAACCTGCACGTGTGACTTTCAGGGAAGGATTGGTTGTGCCCTCTGCCCTCCCTTCCCTATTTTGGCTAGAGAGTTGATCATAGGTCTTATCATGAAAATATGTTTCTATTAAGTTTTTCTTTAAAAAGAAAACCATTCCTTAAAGTTTAGACTGTCTTAAAAATACAACAATCATCTTTATTTTTAAAATTAATATCAAGTATGCATTTCCTCCTTCTAATGTTAGAATGAATAAAAATATGGTTTTATAGGTGGTCTGGGTTTCTCTATCTTTGGTCACAACAATGATTTCTTTTTGATTCTCACTTTGTCTCCAACTGTCAAAAAGAAAATGGCAAGATATTGGGGCTGACCTTTCTGCTTCCAAGTTTTTGCTGTAGTCACAAGATGAGCTTTAAGGTCCTTGCCAGTCTGAGCTCAAGTAAACCATACACTGTCAGATCCACAGGAAATGAAACAGTGAAGGTCATCTCTCTGCCCAGAGTGGCATCGCACAAGGTAGCTTGGGAGGGGCTCATAGTCATTAGTTTCTTTGCCTTTTATAATCTCAGAATTAAAGGTATGTTTAGAATATAAAGTTTGAGTTTCTCAATCAGACTCAAAATTATAGTAGCTTTCTAGAGCTTCTATTTCTGGGTTTGGGTTTTTATGAATTTCCTCATATTCCTAAAACCATAGAATCATTATTTTTAAATGTGATGGTTTAGATTTCTAGATTTTAATTTCATCAGAAAGTAGCAAACATAACAGCATTCAGCTCGCCTCCTTTCTCCAGAAATAGCATGATAGGAGGCAGAATATCCTAGTAGCTTCTTCTGGTGCCTTGCAGACTAGAAATAAGATAACCTGGATTCTGGGCCTCTTATTTATCTCTGGTGAATGATGTTCACATTTTTAATGAAGATATATATGGTTTTTAATTACAGTTTGAAATTGACTCCTGGCATCAGAGTGCTTAAATTTAGACTTCAGCTATGCTGCTCAATAGCCGGGTTATAGTGGGCAAGATGTTCACTTTCTCTTTGACTCAATTTCCTTATCTTTAAAGTGGGACAATGGTAGATTCCTTTTCATGAGAATTCACTGACACATAGTGTAATGCATGGCACATTGCAAGTATGCTTTGTTGACTTTTTTTGTTGTGGTTGTTCTGGTAGGGAAGACACAATGGAAATTTTGATGGAATAATTTGAGTCATCATATTCCTTTCTATTCATTAATTCCTTCGGGTTGTTTATACCAGTGTTTTAGTTAAAAGAGATCCTGCACATATTTAAACATACATTTTTAATGTCTATCATTACCTTTTAGTGTTCACAACATGTTTCAGTGTTTATGTGAGAATTGGCATTGTGACAACTGTGTCATGTTCCATGAAAAAAATGTGTTCAGGCTGGGCACTTATGGCTCAAACCTGTAATACTGGCTACTTGGAAGGCTGACACCTGGAGGGTCGAGTTGGAGGCTATCCAGGGCAATAAAGTCACAAGACTGCATCACAACCAATAGCTGGGTGCACACCTGTCACTCCAAGCTATGCTAGAGGCTAAGATCAGGAGAACTGAGAACCATGATTACAGACCAGCCAGGGCAAAAAAGTTTGTCAGACCCCATTTCAATAGAAAAAAGCTGGGTGTGGTGGTAGACGCATTTCATCCTAGCTAGAGCAAGAAGTTTAAAATAGGAGAATCAAAGTCCAGGCTGGCTTGGCCAAAATTAAAGACCCTATCTCCAGAATAACCAGAGCAAAAACAAAGGGCAAGAAGCATGGCTCTAACAGTAGACTACCTGCAGAGAAAGCATGAAGCTGTAAATTCAATCCCCAGTACTGACAAAAAAAAAAAAAAAAAAAAAAAAACCAGTGAAAGCTAACTGTATTACCTTGTCATTAAAAAATAACATCCATTTGAATGTGAAGCCATTTATTACAAATCCCTATGATGGTAACTCAGTTAAGAAAATCTCTAACAAATAAATTTATAGTAATAAAATGTTGATTTTATGCTGTCCCTGACACAATTCAAAGATAATGTGGTGTGTGTGTGTGTGTGTGTGTGTGTGTGTGTGTGTGTCAGAGAGAGAGAGAGATTGAGAGAGAGAGAGAGAGAGAGAGAGAGAGAATTCTCTTTGGGAAACTGAAAAACAGAAATTAGTCTGAATCACTTCTCAGCCTCTTGGCTAAGATCAAGTGCAGAAATTAACCTGAGACTGCAACAGAAACTTCATCTAGAATTGTAGCTCTCCTTGATTTAAAAGAATGACTTGCTTGGGGATTTTGATTTTTGAACAATGCCATCCCTTTTCTCTGCTTCTTGGTACTTAGGTGTGTCCTCCTTTTTTTTGCGTTCCCTGTCTTCTCTTGATTTCCTTTACCTTCCCCTTTGCTGTGTTTCTCTTTATAATTGCTGGCTTCATGGTGCCTCCTTGGGTTTAACATCCAAATATTTGATTTCTTGGTGATAGTGTGAGCCTGAATATAAATTACATCCTATCTCCTTATACCCTTATCCTTCTGTTTACAAATGTTGTTCTGGAAGGGATGAGGAATAATAAACCTCTTTTCATTTTATTCCCAAAATACATTGCTTTAGAAGAAATGGTCCAGGGGAAGAGATAGTTTTTTTTAGGTGATAGGAAAAGCTATGTATT